CTACTCTTGCGCGCGACAGGGAAAGTGGAAGGTTTATTGGCATCCACTCGATTCACTCGACTATAAACGAAGCTACAGGTGATACAGGTGAATGCACAGCTTCTTACTCAATGCCTACTTTTTCCAGTGTAGAAGATAATGTGTAATTAAACCACAATTATACTGCGATATTTTCAGAACGCAGACCTTATTTCTGATTCGATCCGACGATTAACGTTTCCAGGGGCTGATGTTTTACCTAATGCGCCGCTAAACCTCTCGCTCTGCCTTTCTTTCGGCCAGTTTTTCCTCACTAACAGTTTCATTGACGCCATACACTGTTAGGATCTTGCAAGCCACTGTATAGATCAGTCATGCGTTAAATTATCTCTAAGAAGCTAGGAATGAAGTTGAATGCGAGGCGCAACCCATGTGATGTTGACCAGAGCTGATCGCTATTATTTTTCGTAAACGATAACTGATAATCGTTGAAATGATGTTATTGTAGAAATGTTCTTTGCAGGTGACTTCACAAGCAAGCGGTGTAACAAGAAGGTACCGAGTGTTCTCCTTGGCATAATGAGAAAATCTTTTGACTAATTCGATTGACCACCACCATCCTTGCTTGAGTTACCCTCGAAATTGTTTGTGTGTTACCCTTATTTGAATGAAAAACTAGTAACTACTATTGTATGTGCTCTTTGGTACCTTCTTCTATGTTTATACAAGGAAGCTAAGAAAGATAAAAGGACAGGTACAAAATAATTGTATAAAACCTAAATCGTATGCAACTACAATGTACTCTATCAAACAGGCGATGGCGCTTTATTCGTTACAAATCCGCCAAATACATTTTCCGAAGAATCAATACACGAGGATAAAGAATGAAGCTCTTGGCGTTGATCTTGATCCCTGAGGGATGCGCCATGCATTCCACTTCATTAAGCATCGTTTCGAGGTGATTGAATGCACATCTGGCCATTACAATGACTCGCGGTAACCTACCGCAGATGTACCGAGCCAGAACTGCTATCCTTCCAGACAAGTCTGGTACCAGTTTGCCGACCCCCGAGGAATGGAGGGGTTGGTTGGCTTGGGACACCGGGATCGACCCCAATACGTATTACAAATTGCCCCCGACCACTGCGCTACACCCGCCCCTCCGGCTTCGGCGTAAATCCTACATAACTCTATGTAAATTATGTGTCCTTGATAAGAAGAAATGAAAATAGCGTCACGCACCTTTGTGAGTAAATAGATTCTTTCAAAGCTTACAGCAAATTGTTAAACTTAGAGAGGAGCTTTCCATGAGCCACGTCTTGCAAGACATCTCTGTTGCCTTAAGTGTAGATTTAATAGAAAAGTACATCAAATAAACTTTCCTCGTCAGGATAAACAGCCGGATATGGTATGAATTGGAATTAATACGTATGTTCGGTTCTGCTACCCATGAGTTCATTTATATTAACAAATACGGTCACTTGTTTGAGTAGTAGGCATTTCGAAACTATCAATCCCCGCTTGTTTACTAATAATCTCACACGAAGTTGTTAGAAATCTTTATTATGCTAACTTTTGCCGCTATCCTCCTATTCAGAGCTGGGTGATTGGAGTAGAGCGTCTACGGCGTTTCCTTCATCTTGCGATTTTGGTGTTCTTACTTTCAGAATCGAGACGAATTAAGTAGATCAAAGCACCACATGAATGGATAAGTGTAACCAAGTAATGCTGCTTTTATACAGGACCCTATTTGCACTGAAATGGCTTGAACTCCCCTTGCAGTTTCCCATGATACAGGACAGTCCTTGGTCCGCGTGGAACTGCTCAATTTAAATGGCGAGAAAAGTACATCGACAATATGCTACGTACATCTTGACAAAACTATAAACTGAAATTAAACAGTAAGCAAAATATAGCTCAAAGATGTAAAGTGGAAATACCTATCGTGGAAGGAAGAAACGGGAACAAACGGCACAGATATCTTGAGTAACTTCGAATTTCTGACTGAGAAAGCAAGAAGGTTATGAGAAAACCAGTAATAGAAGGACAGGTTGAATTCTCTGTTCTTCTCTTAGGAAACATAAAAACAGCCACCACGAGACGGCAGCGATCACATCCATTTATGTAAAGAGGTACTGACAATCAGCACAATAGGAGAAAACATGCAGTCAAGACGGGACTTTCTCAATACCTTTGTGAAATGAAGATTGGAGATTTCACGCATGATTCTCATGATCAACTTTCTATCCACTTTGTTTGGCAATTCAGCGTTCCATTGCCGCGCAAACATGAGGTTGTTACTATCGTGTTTATTTTTCTAGAGAAGCTAACGTTCCGGCGGATTTCGCCTTCTTCAGAACCTGGAACGGTCAAGTTAACTGCGATCTAGTCAACGAAACAGCTCCATAATCTCAACAGAACAAACGCGAAACCTAGGTTTCAATCGTACTAGGAACATAATACCCTCCTCGTAGACTAGTCGTTTTCTATGGCAGAGTCTTCTATGTGGAGACAACCGCACAGAGTTAAAGTTAAACCAAATACTTCACTAGGCTTCCATAAGAAACAGAGACATAATGGAGAAGATTCTGAAGTAGAAGTTACGATCCCTCCCGCAGAAATCGAAAACTTCAAGGCGCAAAACTCTCAAAGCATTCTCGATAAATTCCGAGAATCCGAAAATGAACCGGAGGGGGAATGCCTCGTTATCACGCTTGATTTCACACAATACCTCAGCCCGATACTTCAATGGAAAAGAGGTACATTTCGTTTCTATGTGAACTCTGTCCACTTGGTCTCCACGTGATATCCTCAGTGGAAGACTCATAGAAAGCAGTGACACTGTGAAGAAGCTATTTTGCCTTCAACGCGATTGGAGTCGTGGTTTAGTCGCTGTTCTGTTGAGGTAATGGAACTGTTTTCTTGACCAGATTGCGGTCAAATATGACGTTCCCAGGCTCTCAAGGAGGCGAATTCGTCGGAAACGTCAGCTACTGTTAACGAACGCGATAACAACAATTCCATGTGTGCTCATCAGGAATTATGGAATATGGATTATGGAGAACCATGGATTAAGGAAAAAGGTCGGGATTATTACTGACGCATAATTATCAAAATGCAGAACATCGATTGAGTGGACTACACACCTGACATTTTCTTTCACAAAAAATACCTCATTCATTGTCTAATTATATGTAATCAAATAGGAAACAGTTACTTTTAGCAGTTTTATTCTTCTCCTCAATAAGATAAACAGTCTAATCTCTTGCATAAGGGTTCCCTAGCTTGATTTTCAGTGCTTTAATGAGCTAAAGGGCGTGTGTGCAGCAGTGGTCGGAGGCGCCCTGCAACACTCAAACGTGGAATCGATCCCCGCGCCCATGGCCCACCAAGCCTTCCATCTCTCCGGGGTCGGCAAATTGGTTCCAGACTTGTCTGGGAGGATAGCAGCACTGGCTCAATACATCGGCAGGCTACGGCGAGTTATTGTAAAGGCCAGATACGCATGCAATCACCTCCAAACTATACTTAATGAAGTCGAATGCATGGTGCATCCCTCAGAGATTGATCATTGTCAACAGCTTTATCCTTTTATTTTATCGTTGAGCTGACGCAAGGTTGATTCCATGGTGGACAAGTTTTCGTTGGATCTCGTCTCATTTAGGATCGTTTTTCTTACTGTCAAGTTTTCAAAAAGTGGGAGTACGCGTCCGACAGAGTTCACAAAGAATGAGGAAAGAAAACATTGCTCAAGAACACAGTCAATCTGGTCCATGCTGTAAATTAAAGTCTACAGTGAATATGAGATTAATATACTTCACGTCTCAACCGTTGTCGCCGCAGTACACAATGATGTTGTCGATAATTTTAGGCGATAAACATAAAAAAAGATGAAGCTCTCGGCGTTGACCCTGAGAGATGCGCCATGCATTCGACTTCATTGAGCATCGTTGGAGGTGACTGAATGCATACCTGGCCTTTACAATGACTGGCGGTGGCCTACCGAGGTATCGAACCAGTGCTGCTGTCCTCCCAGACAGCTCTGGTACCAATTTGCCGACCCAGGAGGGATGGAGGGCTTGGTAGGCTTGGGAAGCGGAGATTGATCCATGCGTATCGCAGGGCGCCCCCGAACACTGCGCTGCGCGTGCCCTTGACGTAGTGGAGACAATAAACATAGAAGAATAATTTCTGACTGTAAATTTCATTTAAATAAACCTGCTATCACCCATTATACAGAGTCTCTAACCAGTTCAAAAAAAAAAAAAAAAAAAAATGGATTTTTCCCTACGAGAGTACAGAAAACAATAGATATGTCTGTGGACTATCGGTCGTTAATGTGAAGCTTGTTGTTAAAAAACGTTATTTGTACTATTGTAATATTTGTAGCTAGATGTACATCAACTATAAGTGAAGCAGCTTTTGAAATATTTGATTGATACTCTCGCCACAATCCAGAGAAAATTTCCTTGATGCGTTTTAAAATGTTTCCAGGATGTTTGCCAGGGTCAAATGTTTTCAAATCACCTACTGAATGCACTGTTTCCGGTATATTTCCCGTCATCGTATAGCAGTATTCAGTAGGACTGAAACAGAACTCCAATGAGGCAAAATTGACATGCAAAAAGAACTTAGTGCAAACCTGCTCCTTATTTATTCTTTTACTAAGTGGAAGAATTAAAACGCGTACAGCTCGGATATGATTCCATTACAAGGAACATTTATGATGTAGTTCATAAGCATATGTTAAAGGTAAACTTTAACTTGTGCTTTTGCTATCACACAATGTCATCTTCTTAGTTGCATACAGCCTTAAAGGTTAGAGCGGCCCTTAAATCGTTGACGATTTTCAACTGGTGAAACATAGGGTTTTCCTTGTTCACTGGGTTCATTTTTCTCTTATCTCACTATATTTCGAGGTTTTTTGAAGCTTCTGGATTGTATTATCACCAGCTATTACTCCTCATCGTTTGGTTAGTGTTTCGGTTCTCACCTATTGAGATGTGATAAATCATTTAGGGATGTCTGAACAACCGAGCAACGATTCTGGAACGTCTTCAACCGGCAAGATGTTCACCTTCAGGCAATCTGCGCTTGCTGCCAAAGCTGATCAGTTGTGGAATCAAAGTAAGCGATTTTCGACCATTGCTTTTTTTATTTATTTAGCTATTGGTACTTGGTGCATTGTGGATTTTTGATTTGTTCTAAAAATATCCCCGTGTGCCCGAGCACAAGGCCATCCTAGCCGGTTTTAGATTGTAACTATTGAGACCGGAAGTTTCGCTTATTGTGTGTTTCTAAGCATAGGTGTACCATTGATAAGTGCTGGTCTCGAGTACACTTTATTAGAAAATCTATGCGTCTTCGAATAAGTGCAAGAGACATAATGGACTCGTATTTTTATCATTCAAGCGGTTAGTGTTTCGGTTTTTTCCAAAGTGTCTTCCACAAGCTGATAAGTGAAAGCCATTAGGTATTGGAATCAAGGGTTGCTTCACTTCAGTTCTTCGTATTTTTGTGGCAGTAGACGAACTTAGAACCCTGTTCAGAGAATAGCACAGAGAAGGGATTTCAGGTAGTTCGTCTTTAGTCAGTAAAAGTACTTGTTTGAAGTCTGTCGATTAGCTGCGTAGATCGGGAGTTCTTGTACCGATTTTCTGTCTAGGGGCAGGCTAAAGTATATAACACCTAAACTTGTTTAAACTTGTTAGAAGCATCGATTTTTGTCTATCTTTACTCAGTTGTTACCTTTTTTCATACTTCATCACAATAAATTTGTGTTCTATATATAGATTAGTTGCATAAAGTCAGGTTTTGGACAGAACCGTAGGGTTTTTTGTTTCCTTTATATTCGTCCTTCCCTTCCTTGTCATTTTCAGGTTTACAACCTTTTCAAAGATTTAACATACTTTGTCTGCTGCTAGAATGGAATAAATTTAGTTGGACTTTTATAAAAAGCGGATATTTTTGTTTTTTGGAATTGCTCTTGTAGGCAAGTCTTGTTCTGGATTTGGTACAATGCCGTCCACGCATGTTCAGTTGGAGAAGAAGTCGCTCGGTGACGTGCTTGGTCGTATGGCCGAAGAAAAGAGGCTCAGACAAGAACGGGAAGAAAAAGGGAGGCAGTCTTTCGTATTTGGTTCTAAAATCTCCGATCGGGTATTAAAGGTTTGATTTCGTATTCGCCTTTTTCAATAATAGAGCTGTTCCTCCATAAGTGCGTCTTGTTTTCTTTTATCTTTTACGTTTCAAGGAGAGTTCCACGGCCTCCGAAAATGGTAATCACGAGACAGAAGAGAGTGACGAGGCTTCCAAAACAAGAACGGCGGAGGAACTGTTCAAAACTGCTGCACAGCAGAATAAGCAGGTGTTATATACCTTTCTCTCTGTATCTCTATATGTATGTATGCGTATATATACATGTGTATACTTGTGTGTATATACGACATATGTGTGTATACATATTGCCTTTAGATTACTGCTTTCTGTTTAATACATATGTAGGACAAAGAGTCTTGTGGATTTGAACGGGTGAATAGCCGTATCCGCTTTTTTAGCGAGAGGACTTCGATTTTCCGTCTGAGGCTATGGAGACTTCTGAAAAGAAAAAAGAGCACGACCGGCCAAGTACGAGTGTAATAACCGTGACTACTGGAGAGGAGAACGACGTGAGCATATTCCAGGTACCATGCTGAGCCTATTTTTCTGAATGTTATACATGAGATTTTTTTCATTTGTTTTTGTACTTAAGGAAGATGGATCTCATTTGTAGGAGTTCTAGGTTTTTGATGTAATGAGGTCTAAAAGACAAATCTGCTTCTTTAGTTTTTGTTCTTGTGTTTCTATAACTTTGCTAGTTTTCAAACAAAACACTAGGTAGGATGTTAGCTTCTTATTTACTGCCTGCTGCCTGTTCTCGGAAGGGTATTATGTGTAGTACAACCACAATGATGCTGAGAAATTTGCAAAACTCCGGGCCACAGGTGTTTGCCGTGAGGATCGAACATGCTATTACCTTTCCCGAGGACTAATGCGTTCACCACCACACCATGCGCGTCCTTCGTTTCGCCTTTCTCTGAGCTAGTTTTCTATCTACCAATGGCATCAGCAGCTAGGTAGTGCATTCCCACATCTTGATCTACAGTGTGTTGAAATACCCTATGTGCTCCATAAATCTCACCTTTCGTATTACATGATTATCCAGTTTTGGAATAATTAGATAAGTCTCAATAACCAGTCATACACTTCATCTATGAACTAATTTGGTATGGTTCTGGAACCATTGATCCATTACGTCTACAAGTTTTTAATCTTTTTTTCAGACAGCATGTAAATTGCATTCTTTCGACGCGGAGGGGAAGAGATGGGTGGAACGTGGGCTTGCGAATATAAAGATAAACCGACAAGATGAAAATGGAGAAGTCCATCATCGCATAGGTAAGAACAGTAGTTGATGATGGGGTAGTCCGTTTCAGTGGCGAATCATGCGGTAAGATTTCCCGGCTAATTATTAGTGAGAAACCGGAGTGTAATTAGTCGTTCTCGTAGGCATCGCCGATTCTTGTGGGTGAACTGGAGCTTCGCTCCTCTATAGTTAGTTTCATTTCACAGTGGTTCCTGACAGTAGTTTGCTCCTTTTTGGGTGGTAAGTTTTTTTACATGTCAGCTGGGGTAAACGTGCCGAGGAAATGGGTCCTCGGTGTTCATCGGAGTTCGAGATCCAGAAGTACTCTGCGGCAACAGCGAAGATGCTAACCATTATTTAAGGGCTAGAGGGTAGGACTGTGCTGTCTCTTTCTGTTTTTTTAAATGCTTTTCATTTATCAAGGAACTCAGCTTTTTGTTGTGCATATTTCAGTGGCTCGTACTGCTGGTAATCATCGTGTGGTTATCAATTCTAAAGTGCATGCGGATATGCTTTTCGAGCGAGTCGATCCTAAGAGGTTAAAAATTAGCGCAACGACACCAGACTCTAATACAATGCAAATATTTCTGGTCACCATCAGTTTTTCTGTACGTGAATTTTACCTTTGCCCTCAATGTCATATTTATCCTTATTGCTAGGTTTTTCAGAAGACAGCTATTAATATAGATGAGTTCTGTTCTACTCTTGAAAGTATTCTTAGGATGGAAAAAGCCAAAGCGTCATCAAATAGGAAGAGAAAGGTAGATTCCGAAATATGCTTGAACGGTTTTTTACCCGTGGTTTGAAATTTATCTTTCAGGCAGATGAAGATTCTTCATCTTCTTCTAAAACACCTAGGAAGAGCTCTAACGATGATCCCATACTGAAAGACGAAAATTTTGTGATTAATTCTGCTGGGAATGATTTGGAAGGTATTCAGGAGGACGACAGTTTAGGTAGTGAAAGTAGTGAAGTGAATAAAGCCAAATAAGGAAATGTTGAAGTGAATAAGGCCGAATAAGGGAAATAATCTAAATGAAACATAAATTAGAACGACTCCAAGAAACTAGTAAAGGAGCTCATGGCTGAAGTTCAATGAGCATTTCGATTCCAACTTGAAATATGGAAGGAAGTGTTCATTTTTCCGACATCTTAGTCTCTTAGTTTTCTCTTCTTACGCTCATTCTTTTCACAGCATTGTGAAGTTTTCTATTTCATGGTACTCTTCAAGTCTACAGCTTATTTTATTCCTTTGTTAGTGAAGTGTTGTTTAGTTCCAACGATCAGTGGCACATCGTGGTTCATTTCTAGTAATGGATTTTTGATTTTCATACGAAAACTCGGTGCCCTTGTGTTGATATGTTGCATAGATTTTCAATGTCGTCGATCTCATAAGATGATTGACTCTATCTAATGAACTCGATTTCCATCTGTTGTCACCATCTGTAGAAGAATAAAACTGCTGAAGACGTAGATGCGCTGTTGAAGTCATTGTTACGCGTCAAAATAAAGTCTACAACAATGAGTTAGGGTTATTTACATGTTAAGTAATGTTAGTATTCATCTATAAAGAAGTGCTAGTATCCAGAAGTTTACTTTGATGTGATGTGGATAGCTGGTATCTTTTAAGTGGTTATAGTTTCGTTTTCTTGCTATGAATTCAGTGGTAGGATTTTGCTTTACGTTTTGAACAGCTGCACTTGTTAATGCCCTTACGGTAGGTTTCCGTTCTACATACGTTACCAGAGTATTTGCTGGACCGTGTCAGGTGTCTGTGGTATTTTAGATTAGTCATTTTCCTGAGAACAGAAGAAACTAGTGGTATCGCTTAGGTAGAATCAGAGGATTACATGACGTGTTACGTTATACTTACTTGGATGGCCCGTCTTCACTGATTGTGCGGGCCTCGGCATAATTTCCGTTCTCCGGAGATTTGCTAGTTTAGCCGTCGTGGTTCCTTGGAGTTCCGAGGACAGGCTGGCCAAAGTCTGCCTCAGGTCGTCATCACGACAAACAGTCGCTGCCCTTGTGGATCAGAAGGGGATTTAGTTTGGTACCAGGACGGTGGTGGATCCTTGTATTAGTTTACTCCTACCTCTTCTACCTGGGCTTCCTGATGGGAGCGCTGGACACCTCAACTTGGGATACTTTGCTGAGGGATGAATCCTCCCGATGTACATCACAGCCCAACATCCAGGAACACCTTTCAGCCACGATGAGGCGGTAAGCCGTTGGGAGGAAACGAACTTCACCATAATAAAATTCGATCTCATCACAACATAAAGGATAGGAAGGATAAAGCTCTCGGCATTGATCAATCGCTGAGGGATGCACCGTGCATTTGATTTCATTAAGCATCGTTTGGAGGTGACTGAATGCATGTCTGGCCTTTATAATAACTCGCGGTCGGCTACCGATGTATCGAGCCAGTGCTGCTATCCTCCCAGACAAGTCTTGTACCAATTTGTCGACCTCGGACGGGTGGAAGGGTTGGTGGGCCATGGGCACGGGGTCGATTCCACATGTGTGTTGCCAGGCGCCTCTGACCATTGCGCCACACGTGTTTGTCACCATCACATCACACATTTTACATTTCTTTCTGTAGCAGTAGAACTTTTCGGTCACGTTGAAGACGGAGTTCTCTGATCTAGTAAGTGATTAACTGCTATTTGAAAGTAAATGGTTTAAAAGAAAATGGACAAGAGATCCTAATTTTCTGGAAAGTGCTGTGTCGATTTAATATCGCTTTTTGTGTCCGTTTGCTGAGAGTCCATAATTTTTGCTCTAAGTATGGCTCACATCTGTACATCGTTTATGATCGTCTTTTTTTCTTTCAAACTAGTAACTAAGCAAAATGACGTAGAGACCATACTATGTTATTCTGAGGGAGGGCCTATCGCGTAATGGCGGTGGAGTTGCCTTTTGTCATGTATGAGTCCGGTTAACCATTACGTTAGCTTTCATGAGATTCTATTACTTTGTCTGCATACCATCCATCTCCATTCCTTGTGTTAAAAGAAGATATTAACCAGCTACCAGCTACGAGAAGTCTGGCAGGTTAGTGAAAAGATTGGCTCGTTGGTAGCTTGTAGAGAAAAGTATGCTTCAAATGATCTTGTTATAAGGGTTTTGTGTAGTTTGTACTTCAATGCATCCTTTATTTTCGTTCATCATTAAAAAGAGACGTTAAATTTAGTTTTCATAAATGAAGGACCATCCATCTGAATCGCTTCCTGTGGACCTAATGGTTTCTGTGGACTGCTGTTTCGATTTATTTGCATTCCTATGCTTTTTTCTTAGGTTTCGATCCCTTTTAATATTGCTTTACCTTCACTGCTAGATTTAAAAGAGGTAGGGATTTCGATGCGAGAACGGAGTGTCTATAATAATTTCCTCAATGTGCCTCTTTCATACCAATTCAATGGTTCGGTGAACAGTTTTGACAACACAGTGTATCCACGCTGAAAGAGCTTCCCTCTAGAGTTGCAAGGAAGTACTTACTTACTTAGTTACTTGGATACTTAGATGACTCGTCCTCACTGGTTGGGTGCGCCCCATCATAATTTCCACTTCTTCAGAGTCTTGCGGTATAGCCATTGTTGTTCTCTGGAGTGCCGAGGTCATCCTAGCCGTAGTCTGCCCCAGGTCCTCATCACCACGTGCAGTTGGCGACGATTATGGATCAGAGGAAGATTTGCTACCACGCGAGTAATTTGATATCAGAACGGTGGTGGATTCTGGTATAGGTTTAATCTTAGCTGGGCTTCCTGATGGAAACGTCGGACTCGTTGTCATCTTGGGAGGCCTGCTGGGGTGAAGAATCCTCCCGCTGTACATCACAGCGCTACACCCAGGAACTTCTCCCAGCCACGTTAAGGCGGTAAACCGTTGAGAGGCAAGGAAGTACTACTAAGGTTATGGTGTAGTCGTGCTGCGGGTTATGATGTAGTGTTGCGACAGCAGTCCGGCTAAAACTATGTGCCCATGGTGAACAGAATGTCGTCGATGTTGTGAAACGTAGTCAGTCCACTGGCGCATACCTCCAGATATGCACTGACTTCAATGCATTTGATGCAAAGATAGTGGCAGTGTTTTAAACTTTTAAGACCCGTTTTATGTTTAAACAACATAGGTCGTACTGAATTTTGTTAGTTGAGATAAATACTATTAGATTCTGCCGATCTTTGCCAACAACAGACATCCTCTCTGGTTCAGTCAAGATGAAATCCTGTTCTTCTGGAGCTCACGTATACTCAAAGAGCGTGTTTCGAAAACGAAAAGAATTGAACAAGAGGATTTCTTCCAACTGGACACGATGGTTTTTTCCCACTATGTGGCTTACATGCTTATATTGGAAATTCTAAAGACTTGAGTTTTTTTTGAGCGGAAAACGCAATGGCGAGAGTTGCCGTGCAGCAACAAACACGATCCTTCGTTCGACTTCCCTTCGGAACCTTGAATGCTGGTTGCTTTGATTCTTCCTGAAATCCTAGAATAGCAATGTCAGCTCATTCCTTGATCTTCACTGCAGAAGCAGCGGCTCGCATTTGTGGATCAGCAAGAGCTTCTGCGAGACAAGTTAGATACCATTTCTCAGACCTTGGAGCGAGGGGAAACCTGATTGCCTCCGAACGGCGTCGAACCGAGGCCTAGTGCATTTTATTGAACGAAATCTCTAGCAATGAAATACTACCGACCTAAGTATCATTGTGCACTTAAGTGTTAGTTCAGATGACAGTAGAATATACCCTAGACTATCGTTTACAAGACCTCTACTACCACTTATTTTTCAAGGGGCGACTATTCCAGCACGAAGCAACTTAACCGTAATATTGTGTAGCCATAAGAAAGAACCGTTTTTTTATATCCCATGTCTAACTTTAAAAGGATTTTTTCTGGAAGTAAACAATTACAGAGGCCAATATCTGCTAACGGGTAGGGGTGTGATCGTTTGGTAAGATTCGGATTAGTCGAACAGTTCAACTTCCATAGAACGGCGAAGTTTTTGTTGTTCAAATTTTCTCTCGATGTGTTTATACTTATTGTTCATGTGATATACCTAGTAAAGTTATAGTTTCTGGCGTTTCCATCAGGAAGCCCAGCTAAACGTAAACCAATACCAGGATCCACCAAAGTCCTGGTATCAAACTAGTCGCTTGGTGGCTAATCTCCCTCTGATCCACAAGGGCGGTGACTGCCTGTGGTGGTGACGACCTGGGGCAGACTTTAGCCAAGCTGATCTCGGGACTCCAGGTTAGCACCATGGCTAAACCAGCGAAATTCGGAAAAAATGGAAACTTTGCTGGGAACCGCATAAACAGCGTGAATGGGCCATTCGAGTATGTATAGTTATAGTTAGTGCTATGTAGTACCCGTAAAAAGTAAAGAGATAAGTGAAACTTTCGTGGTGGGAACTTCACCCACATCGTATGACCTCGAATCGGCTGACAATGGGAAACAAGGGAATTTAAGGCCGCTCATTGAGCTGAAACTTTGTGCTAACCATTGTCGAATCCTGCCACATTGTACCATTTTCTTCTCATTTTATATTATCGTTCCCAACCTTCTATATTCAGATTGGCGAACATGATAGTTAACAATGCGTTTCCTACGATTTTACATAGGTAGATCTATAAGCAAACGGAGTAAATTGGCGACAATCAATGTCACGGGTTCCTCCTACGCCTTATCTGACCAAACATGTTGTTCACTGCATTCTAGTCGCTTTTGCTCTCTTTCTAGTGTTTTGTCCGTCTCTTTTCTTTATGGTAAACAACACTTTTATGAAGACTTGGTGTATGTATGCATGTCTCTGTATGTAACGTGCGTATACGATGTACATGTACATACGTGTATCATGTATGTATGTGTGTATATATGTATGTATTTATGTATGTCTCGACATCAGATTGTTCAGGCAGAGAGCTCTTCCACATTCATTGATTGTCAATCAATGTCCTTCCTGTATCTCATCTGACAACCAAGGCAGGACAGTTATATACATGCCGCACCATAAGGCAAACTAAGTCGTCATTCGTGGTCAGCAAATTGTCACCAAACCGGTCTGGGAGAACGGAAACATTGACTTTATATATGGGAAGACCATTACAAGTCTTCGTTGTTTAATACGAGTAGGCGCTCACTCATCACCATGATGGTGCGCATTGGATGGAATACATAGTGTAGGGCTATTGAATTGACAAACAGTTGATTGTATTATCGTTGACTCTTCTTTTACCGCGTGGAAACTTAACGTGTTTGGTAAGAAGCTCGAAAATTATCTCTGGAAGTGCTATTTCCGATTGGTTAGTTCGAATGTTTCACTTATTTCATTTTCCACTTTCGCGTCATCCAATCATGTCGTTTTCGAAATTGGTCATATAAGAATTTGTCCGAGTCCTCCATTAAGGGGTG